GCCTAGTATTGCTTTAGCTATTCTAGATCTCTCCTGCTTCCAAATGAATTTTTGGATTACTTCCTCTAGTTCTGTGAAGTATACTATTGGAATTTCTATTGGGATTGAATTGAATCTATATAGCAGTTTTGAAAGTATGGCCATTTTCACTATGTTGATTCTTCCTACCCAGGAGCATGGGGTATCCTTCTATTTTCTTGTATTCTCTTTGATCTCTTTTTTCAGAGTGTAGTAGTTTTCAGTAGAGTTCTTTTTCTTCCTTCATTAGATTGATTCCTAGATACTTCATTTTTTGGGGGATGCTATTGTTTTATTGTTGTTGTTGTTGTTTGATTTTTTTTTCCTCATTGAGTGTATTGGTACATTTTATGTACACAGTACAGTTACATTCATCATTGGGATCTTGTACCTTTACATGACAGAACTTGGTTCTCATTTTTCCCCTTGTCCCTGCCCTCCCTTCACCCCTCCTCCCCTCCCCATTTACAAACACTTTATTTCCATTTTTTCATTTTCTCATATTTTTTTCTTTTCCCTTATTATCTTTCCCCTACCCTTCCCACTTTCCCTATACCTTTAGCCCTTTTTTTTCCTATTTCACATTGCCAATTATCTCATTAGGATCTTATGTACTATTATAGTTTTTCACACCAGAGAAATTATTTGGTATTTACACATGTGTGACTTATTTATTTCACTTAGGAGTATATCCTCAATATGTGTCCATTTTCCTATGGATGGATCTAATTTCTCACTCTTTGGGCCATACTTTCTGCAGGTTGAAATTCATGCACTGATTCAGCATTCAATAAATATTCTTGTGTCTTCTATGGGTATGGTACCAAGGTTACAGTATTGGAGAAAAGCCAAAAATCTTTGATTCAAGATGTCTGCATGCTAATAAGTCAAAACTCCAATTTTTAAAAAAAATGTTTATTTAATATATCAGGTAGATGAATAAACTGATGAGTTTATGGCTGATTTGTTAGAAAGTGGGATCTGATCAGAAGAAGTAAGTCATTGCAGATGTGGTCTGGAAGGGCTTATCTCTTCCCTCCTCCTCCTCCTCCTCCTCTCCTCCTCCTCCTCCTTCTTCTCTCTCTTTCTCTCTCTCTGTCTCCCCCTCCTTCTTGCTGCCTTGTCATGAGCAGCTTCTCCTCTGCCACATCCCTCTGCTGTGTCACCCTGCCTTGGAGCCAGCTGATTACACACTGAAACCTCTGCAAGCCATGAGCCAAACTAAACCTTTCTCCTTTAAGTTGTACATGTCAGGTATTGTGTCCCTGAAATGATTAGAAAGTAGCTAAGAAAGCCCTCAAACAGAGTCTCAGTTGCTTGTAGCAAAAACCATGAGGTGGGTAAGGGAATAGTGAGTATCAAGGTACTAAGACAACAGATCACCAATAGCAACTATAAACTAATTTTCTTCCTTTTGTTTCAATGATAAACTATTCTATTTTCATCTAAACTATTCTATTTCTTCTTCCTCCTCCTCTTCCTTCTCCTCTTCCTTTTCCACCCACCCCTTAACAGCTGCTTGCCTTGTTGGTTTCTCTCTGGGTAGCCTTTTGGCCCTCCTGAGTCAACAGCAACAGGATCACCCATGCAACCAGCCTTCATCACCTTCACATTCAGAAATCCTCTAAGAAGTTTTGCCTTCCCAAAAGCTTCAACAGATACCTCACTGGACCAGCCTTCAATAGTTGCCCATATATAACAGGCGCTATGGAGATGAAATAAGCTCACTTCAAAGACCCAAATTGGATTCCTACTCCAGAGCCCTACAGGCTCCACATAGATACATTGAGAAAACAAAAATCTAGAAAGGAGTACAGATTTGCTCTAAATCATACATCTTTTCTGTGCAATCAATAAGAGAATGACAGACAACCCAACAGAAAGATAAGTAAAGGTTCTGAATGAGCACGGAAGAGGATAACCAAACGGTCGATAAACCTATGAGCAGGCGCTCAGCCGCATCAGTCATTAGGGAGAAACCACAGTGTGATGTCACTACACAACCAAGGGATGGCTGAGATGAAAAAGACAAAAATCACCAAATGCTAGCAATGCTACTGAGCAATTAGACTCTTATACATAGCTGTTGACAGTGAGGTCGTTAAAACATTTTGAAGAACTGCTTTGTGGTATCTAAAAACATGAGATCCTTAACCCACAACCTAACTATCCCACTCCTTGATATATAAGCAGTGGGAATACAAACATGTACTCACCAAACCATGTATAAAAATGTTGTAGCAGTTTTATTCATATAATCAAAACCTAGAAACAACTCAAGTATCCTTCAAAGGCGGAATGGATCAATAAACCACGGTATGACCATGAAATTAAACATTCTTTAGCTATTAAAAAAAAAGAATGAATCACAAAACACAAGAAATCAGTCTTACGACCTTGACAAAAAGATACCAACAAAAAAGCCATTCATATGGATTTAAGAACAAACAAAATTAGTGCACGCAATTAGAAATCAGGTGAGTGGTTACCCTTGAGCAGGCAGTGACTGAGAAGAGAACCTAGACAGTGTAGGAGGCATTTGAAACGCTAATCATATTGTTTCTCAGAATGGATGCTGCTTACAAAGCTGGGTTCCATATGTGCAAAATTCATTCTGTTTGTTTACTTTTATGAATGCATGATAAAACAGTCATATCTCAGAACCCATGGGGTTTGGTTCCAGGATGCCTCATAGATACCAAAATCTGAAGATGCTCAAGTGCCTTAATACAAAATGATGTAGGATTACCATATAACCTACGCACATCCTTCTGTGTATTTTAAGTCATCTCTACATTGTTTATAATATCTACTACAATGTAAATACTCTGCAAATAACTATTCTGTACTGTTTAGGGCATGATGACAAGAAAAGTTTGTACATGTTCAATATAGATGTAATTTTAAAAATAACTTTGACCCATGGTTAGTTTAATTTGCAGAGGGGGAATGCATGGAGACAGAGAGCAAACTGCAGGTCTACAACAAAAATGTAAGGGAAAAAAAATCCATCCATTAATAGAAGAGGCACAACTTTATCTCCCAACTAAGCTTTTCACCAAACATTCCTTGGTACACCTTTAGGTCTGCACCCAAGCTAATTGCTCCTGTGTTTTACTACTGGAGATAAAATTCTATAGTCTCTCTCCTCACCAGCATGTAAATGCAGCCTCCCAGTCTGACACAGATCCTACTTGTAGCAGCTCTTTCTATTCTCCCTACTCTGTAAGAGGTGGCCACCAGGATTTCAGCCTCCTTTTTGCCAGCTCCTTTTCTTTTGGGATTTTTTTGGGCCAAATGTACTTTGAGACTCTGGCCAGCCTTGCTGAGCTCTTTCCAACTACTGTTTAATTCCTTCAATGGGTAAAAGTGTTCCAGATTCAGGATGAACAGATGGATGCTTGAGAAATGAAATGTACATAGTCAATATGGGCACTTGGCACTCACTGCAAGGTCAGATATTTAGAAGACCTTAGAACTCAGGACAAAGAAGGCCCCTGAGGACATAGGACATATGGAGTCAAATGTCTTCAGGGATCCAGCGATGGGTGGGCTACACTGAGGGATCCACCTTCACTTTGCTAGTCTCCTTGAGGCAATGGCCCCTATCTCTGGAACAATACTTAAAATTGGAATTGCAGATCCATCTCATGGTACAGTGGAAAAATTACTATATGGCTAGAGTGAGGTGTCTAAAATACGATCAGAGATTCACTCATGGCCCCATATATGGCTAGAGTGAGGTGTCTAAAATACGATCAGAGATTCACTCATGGCCCCACACAGTGAATCGAGATTTGGTTTATGATCACTAACCCAAGTTTCCCTCATTAGGGAAGCAGATTGAATACTGTGTCACAACAAAGGTGTGCAGATGCCCTAGCAAAACATGTCCAAGCAGCCACTGTGACTCCAAATGAGAAAAGATGTGGGTTTTAGCTGATGGAAATGGCACTTTTCCCCCAAGGTCCAAACCACTTCATAATAAATTTTTTTAAATGAGGCCCTTAGCAGTAGTCAGCTTCAGAGTCACTCTCAGTTTATTTCAGTCTTTTTCCTTTTTAGTGAAAGAGCTCACACTGAGAACCCCGGTTCCCAAGGATGGCCCAATCTCTCCCTTGACCTCAGACCTCCCTCTACATCCAGCCCTTCAGCTGCAATGCTTCCTGTCTCTCTGCTCTCATCACAGGCACAGTGAGTCCCAACCAGCTCACCATGCTCTAAAATGCTGAAACCCTGGCCCCACTGGCCCTCAGGTCAGGTCACCCAAGTGCACACACAAGGCAAGGATCTGAATGCAGGTTGAATTTGGGGAGAGCTGATGGCAGTAAACTCTGAGGGAGCACTGGAATCAAAAAGGCTGGCAATACAGGGGTGTGGTACCAAGCAGGTAACCCCTGAAAGGGCATGTGGAGCCCAGCCCTGGTGAGGAATTCTGGGAGCCCATGAAGAACACATATCAGAATTCCCTCAGCTGAGTGCGAGCAGGGGACACATTTACACACTGTGTCATGATCATTCCGATCAGTGCCGAGTCAAACTCCTCATTAGCTCTCAGGTACTTTTTTTAATCTTACTTTTAATTGGCACACAGTGATTGTACATATTTATGGGGAATAATGTGACGTTTTGCTACATATCACATTGTGCAATGATCAAGTTGGAGTAATTAGCACTTCATGATTGCTCTGCACAGAGTCCACATTGCTCCCCGGCCTGAAAAAGAAGCCTCAGGCAGGGGTCACAGTGATTCTGGAAGCAGTATAGAGATAAATGGGGAGTCAGGCACAGCATCCACAGTATCGAGTAGTTTTCATAAACAATATGCCAATGTGCATGGCCCCAGTGCTCCCTGAGGACTGATCAAGGACTTGGTCCTATACAGAGCTATGCAATGAGGTCAGAAAGGAGACTCAGAGCCAGGAATGTTGGGGATACTTATAATTCCAGAACTCTGAGAGCCTGAGTCCCCTTGACGCTCTGACAATGCTCATCCAGCCCCACCAGCAAGGCTCTATCAGGTGCCCGAAGGTGCCCAAGCTAGCAAGCAATCCTTATAAATGTGCACAGTAGTTAACCAAGCACAGAAAGAAAGGCCAATGGGGGCCTGGAGCAGTGCATAGGGTCTGGACCTGCAGCAGGAGGCCTGAGAAGAAGGGGTGAGAGGTGAGCAGTCTAAGAAGTAGGCTGAGTGTCAGGAGCAAGGGTACAAGGTGAGGCTGTGCGCTGGGCTGTGTGTGTGACCTGCCCACCTGATGTACTAAGCTCCCCTTCCATGCAGGGCACCAAGAACACAGGTGTCCATTTGATCCATTGTGCTCTCTGTTATGCTTACACTTATGCATGAATTAGAAGGTGAAGGATTATCAGGCAGTGCTGGCATGGCAGGGATTCAAGAAGTTAGATTTGATGAAGTAAGTCATAGAATCCAAGGAAGATTGTAGAGCAGGAGAGTGGCACAGGGCAGAATTATTTAGGTTTGTGAGTGTGCCTCTGCTAGGAGCAAACAGAGCCTTCTCTTCCTGGTGGGGCAGCTCCTTCCTCCCTCCAGTGAGGGTTCACATCCGGTTCCCTCAGTCACCCCTGCCTCTCTATCTCAGGGTAGTATCTGAGCAAAGGAGGGATCCCCTGAGCAGAGCAGCCCGAACTGCCTCAGCAGCAGCCTTCCCTGAGACAGAGCAGGCTCAGGTGGAGACATGCCAGCTTCCTTGCGCCTGAAGAGAACAGTCCTGATGCCCAGTCCACATATTCATGAAGAGATCTCCAGCAGGACTTAGCCTCATTACCCACCTGGCCCTTAAACTCTTCACTGCTCCCTGCTGATCCCTCTTCTTTATCCCTCCCCTCTCCATGCAATGATTCCCCTCCCTCAGAAACTTCTGGGATCCAAATCATTGTCTCAGGGCCAGGTTATGAAGTAAGATGCTAGACGAAAATAACACATGCATGAAGCTCTACCAGAGAATTGCCTGGGAGCACAACATTTATTGCCCTCTCTTCCAGAGCTGGGAGGGTGATTGGAGAGCTGTTCAGAGCAGGTTAATGGAGTCTGTGGCAAGGAACGCTAAGAAGAGTAGTCTAATATTTTCTTTTTCCTTTCTGGTTTAGCAACAGTGGTAAAAACAACTCAACCCCATTTATAAATTGCTGTGTTAAGGGAAGAGCTTCCTTAAGTAGAGTTTGTCCTGGGCACCAAACCAGTGTGCTAATTGAGACAGAGCATAATTTGCCAGACAGAGACATAGCACCTGCCTAGTTTCTGTCTGTCCTCAGACTTCCATCCTGCCCTAGCACCCATCCCCGCTTCTGGGTTCTGGAAGGTTGCTTTGCTCTGCATGTGTAGCCACATTGCTCTGCCGACAGTCCACTGGCATCCACCACTCCCTCCCTAGAATCCACATGCAAGAGAGAAGGCCTGAAAACCAGACATTTAAACCAACATTGGTGCCTCATCTACAGCCTCATCCACACTTAGCTCCTTGTGCCACCTTTCTGTGCACTGGAATCTGCTTTGCTGCTGGTGACCCAGAATGGAAGTGACAAATGTTCACTGGATGAACTACTGCAAGTGGGGGTCGGTACACAGCTCCACGGCCCTGCAATGGAGCTGACTTTGAGGCATATGCTCTACACTGTCCCCCAGGGTTCATCCCTTGGACTGAGCTCACATGGAAATTGGATTGATGAACATCCTGTATGCACTAATTCCCCTCCCTTGTTTAATTCCAACTCCCTAGTCCCCGCCTACTGTGATCACCTCCCAAGTAAAGTGCTACAATCACACCCGCCGACAAGTTTGCCTCTCTGGGAGCCCAGCCTAAGGTAAGAGCAGATTTGACCTGCCTCACCTCTCAAAGCCTCTAGTCCAAGACAAAATGTTGCCTGTCTCTCAGTCAGGGGTCCATGAGACAAGCTGAGCCTCAGACAACTTAACCTGACATTCAACACTTGCTCACAGTAGGAAAACAATCAAGGGGTCTTTTGATTAGGTGATGACAGTATCGTGTTCTGAAAGTTAAAAGCCATACATATCACAGCATTTTTTTCTTGAGAGTTTTATTCAAGTCAGAAACTTGTTAATCTGATTAGATCTGGGTGACCTTCCAAAGAGAGGTGATGTATAGCAATTCTCAAAAGAGATTGAGATTCAGAGCCCATAGAAAACTATATCCAGGGCAAAAAGTATCATTTTCACATCAGATGTTGTCTATACCCTGAAATTTGCAAAAGAATTGTCCTTCCCTACTTTCCTGCCTGAGGAACTCCTATTGTCTTTCTACATTCAACTCAGGCTTGAATTCATCCCCCAATCCAAGGCTGGGCTAAAATGCTCATGGCCCTCACAGGATGCTATACTTATCCCCTGAAACAAATCCTGCTTTGATTTCCCTCTTTTCCTTAGCTACTTCCCCTTGGTTTTCCTAACCACTGCTATATCCCTACGCCTAGAACAGAGCCAATTTATCACATTTGATACAGGGTCTCGGAAAGGCTTTCAGGATGTGCCCAACCACATGTGCCAAAGGCTAGGCAACCTCTAAACACCACAAAGCAAGAGTAATGACAATAACGTCTCAATAAATCAAGAAGAGATTGACCTGAGGACAAAATGTCTCCCTGCACATCTCAGTCAAGAGGAAAAGAGGGAGTGCTAGTGGGTCCATGTGCACCCTATCTTTCCTGGGCCTCCATTTCCTCATCTGTTAGAAATGAGAGCAATGACCTCCACAGCCTTCCAACTCTGGCAAGAGGAGATTCCAGCACCTTCTGGGCATCTCATGGGAGACACAAGAGTGAAAGGTGTTTTTCTTGACCTCTAGAAGCTGACACTATCTGGAAAGTATAGAAGTTAGAAAAGATGAGAAAAAAGGTCAGGCAAGGGTGTGATAGCAACGAAGCGGGTGGAAGAGTGGACTGGTGCTTCAGGGGAATTCATCCCAGTCATGCTGATCCGGGCCAGGGGTGATGAAGTATTTATATCCCAACAACAGTCATCAGTTAAAAGCCACCTCCAGGGTAAAAACTCCCAGGTATTCTCTTTGAGTGAAATATATCTGAGTACAAGGGAGGCTTGGGAATGTAGTTTTCTACAACACAGAGCAGAGTGTGGAGAAGGGCATTAGAGAAATCTACAAAAACCAGGGACAGGTATGCCAGGAGATGAAGAGACTTGGTTTTGGAGTTATAATGCTTGGGGTCTGGTTCCCAAATTTTATTTCATGTTACTCAGGTTTACCCAATGAGTTGCCAGAAACTCCTAAATTTAGGACCTGCTGACATATGGTTATGAGGTTCTGATATAAATAAATAACAGCTGACTTGGCCAGACAGTGTCCACCAAGAACTTTGGGATCTGGAGTTTTCAGGTCCCCAAAATCCCCTAGGTCAGGCTTCTTATCAAGGAAAGCAGAACAGGATGAGGCATTTTAGGCAGAGATGCAGCTATAGAGTCTGGTCAAATATTAAGTAAAAGCCAAATTAGACTTCACTGATAGTTTCAGGAATATGAGCCTTGAAAGGGACATCAATCTCCCAGGATACAAAACATCCTGGTGTCTCCATGCTGACAGAATTCTGGGAGAAGGAGATCTGAGGAGCTGGAAAAGACCAGAAACACCCAGAACTGACTAGAGTCCCTGCAGGAGCAGGAATGGAGACCTTGATCACTTGCACTGCCAACTTCCCCTTGGAGATTGTGTCTGCTGTGGCACAGAATTAGGCCCCACCTGCAAAAAAAATTAGCTCTGGAGAGTAGTGGAAGGGCACAGGGGAGGGCAAAGACTCCAGGAATGTCCACAAAGTCCCCAGTCCTCTCTGTCCTACTACAATGGAGTCCAACTGGTGCCCTCAAGCAAACTGGTTCCTTTTTCATTCACTTCCAAAGCCAACACAATCCAAAGTTCTAGGCTACTATTATATTATTTCCCTATTCCCATCATCTGTAGACACCAGCCTCAACCCTTGGAGGTGCCAAAGATGCCAATTCTTCTGTCACACATCCTCACCCGATTCTTCTCATTGAGAATCGGTCCAGTCTCTAAGAAGTGCTCCATTTCTCCCTAGCATTAAGATACAAAGAGCTATAAACTGTAAACTCTGCTACTGTGGGAAGTTAGGGAATTATAATGTCCTTATAGGCTCCTCCTTCTATCCTTGTGTGGAGATGAAAAATCTCAATCACAAAAGAAAAGAAAATATCTTCTTATCCTGCTTACAAGTCAAACAACTGCCTTGGTATGTTCTTCATTCAAGAAGAGAAGGATACAGAGAACCCATGCTTCAATTCATAAGCCATGACTGGGAGAAGGGCCCTGCAATCAAGCAGTGAGCCCTGTAGTCTAATTTAGGTGACATCATTTCTAAGTCTGTCATCATCTGCATCTCCAAAAGAAGATGCCTTCTTGGGGCTCAGCACCACCATCCTAACAGGGGTTTCCCTGCTAGTCATTATTGCCTCTGTGAGTTTCACTGTCTTCCTCTCAATCAGGACCAACATCATCACCCATGTCTTGGGTCATTCCTTTCATTCCATTCTGCTGCAGAGCTTGGCTCAATGTCACCTCTATAAGTAACCTCCCCAGCCTATCTCTTCAGACACCGTGGGTCACCCCACAATGGTATGGTCCTGGGGGTGTGGGTATTTGGTCATTTGTCTCTCCCACCAGGCTGTAAGCTTGTCAGGCACTGAACTGATTTTCAGCCTTTGCCTCTCCTATCTCCAGCAAATGCCTAGAAGGGAATATATTTTCAGTGTTCCCTTATAGAATAAAATATTGATTTGGTGAGAATACATTGCAATAGTATACACCTTAGTACACACCTCCACTTGCTCTGTTGGCATAACTCTAAACAAACCCAAACCTTCCACCCGCCACCACATCCCTCTACTGCCATAGTCCTCAGACACACCACTGTGTCTATGTTCTCTTTTCTGTGTCTTCCAACCTCCCAGGAAGTAGTCAGTGGAAAACATGATCTATCTAGACTCTTGGAGGATAGGAAACAACCATATGAGATATTTGAGAATAAACCACAACAAGGCTTGAGAGAGGACTGGATATAGAAGAAGATGATAAGGGCAGAACCAGATGACTAGTAGGCTGCTGCTGACACTGACAAATAGGATAATCAAAGAGACCCGAGAACAGAATGTAGGAAGGCAGTGCTCAGATGAGGGCAAGTTGACTTTAGGAAGTGAGCAGTATTCAGGGGAAGAGTTCCAACATCAGTGGAAATGCAAGACAAGAACCCAGCCAAGAACACTGATATGTCCAAAGTTGGGCCTGGAGAACTTGGTGCCAACCACATTGAGATGAACATTGAGAGCTTATTATCCTGCTCATATGAAATTCTAAGGATGAAGAAGTAGGCAGAGGAGAGCGGCAGGTCCAGGAGTGGGCTATGGGGGCATCACTCTATATGAAGGGGAAAGGCATGGGGGTGAGGAGCCCAGGAATAAGTCATCATAGCAGTGCCACATGAGAGCCTGAAGTCAAAGGAAAAATCAGCAGTACTGATCCGACTTTATGAAAATTGTATTTTATTTATCATGGATTTTTATATTAATTTCCCTTGTTTCAAATATTTTATTAAATTTCAATTTATATTGAAAGACAGGATAGGATATGACTGTCCAGCAATGTCCTTCTCAAGAGAAGGAGACCTGAAGCAGCTGAGCCAAAGCACCAGGTCTAACCATCTTGGCCTTGATTTCTGGCTCTGGCATTTCTCAGGTGTGCAATCTTGGGCAAGTCATTTAGCAACCTACACATGGTAGGAATAAATAACACCTTCCTGGCAACCTTGCCACTGTGCCTAACATGTGTAGGTGATTTTTAAATATTTGACCCCATCCCAAAGCACACAAGGCAGTGAAGAGAACTCCAAAAGACTCAGCTTGAAGGAAAGGGAAAAAGGCAGTCCAGCTGGAAATCAGGCTCCTCCCCACATCTGAGAGAGAGGCAGTGCTCCATCACCATCACCATCCACACCATATATATATGGTTCAGGAAGTAGGAAATTTAACCCTTCCTTTCCACAGTTAGGGAATCCTGGTGCTCAGAGTGAGCTGGAGCCTGGCTGCTCTGTGACTCAGCTACTCTTGTCCTTGGATTTATGTCACAGTCTGTTTGATTAGCACCCTCATGGTGACAAGCACATAAGCCAGCCTGACTCTTTGAGAGAGCTAGGGAGAGGCCATTGTGGGAGGCCATCACTTCCACCCAACCCTCTCTACATAAGCCTGTAACATTGCAGTATGTTATTCTCTGATGAAAAATGCCCATGTTTGGTGTCTGCCCAAAGGAGAATCTGTATGGAAAGTTTGAGAAAGATTCCCTCTGGCTGGGAATGTGAAAAAGCCTGTGCCTTTCCTATTTGAAGAAAAAAAAAGGGGGAAAAGAACATATTTGAGACGTAGTTATTTTTGTCTCGGATTCAGAAGGAGCTGACTTGGACAGTGCTGACTTGGCCTGGATTCCCATCGCTTTGTTTGTAAAGGCGGATGGGACCCAGAGGTGACGCGGGCCCCAAAATGTTCGTGTTTTTCCTTGACAATTTGTCTGTGTTATTGTGGTTGTTGTTCACCATTTTACTACGTATAGTTTACAAACAACAAAATGTAAAATTCTTAAGAATCTTACGTATACAGCTTTACAAAGTTTTACTTAAGTATATAATCATGTACCTTCTTACCAAATCAAAATACAATCATTTCTAGTACCCTAGAAGGCACCCATATGCCTCTTTTCAGTCAGTACTCCTCTGCAAAGCTAGCCAGGCTAGTCCTGCATGTCCTTAAATTTCCCATCAATGGAATCAAT